TCTCTTTATTTTGACCTTTGATTAACTCAAACCTGTGAATTGTGTGTCTAAACTTTCACGTATTGGCAGTGAAGAAAGTTGATATATCTTTTACTGAAACCATCCATCCATCCATCCATTATCTTTACCTGCTTCTTCCTTTTTGGGTCACTGGTGCCCATATCCAGAAGTCACTACGCGAGGCTGGGGACATCCTGGACAGGTCTCCAGTCCATCACAGGGACAAATGAGACAAACAACCATTCACTCTCTCACTCACACCTAGAGACAATTCAGAGTTACCAATCAGACTAACATGCACGTTTTTGGTCTGTGGGAGGAAAATGGAGTACCTGGAGAAAACCCACACATGCACGGAGAGAACATGCAAACTCCACCCTGCTGGGATTTGAACCAGTGACCTTCTTGCTCAGAGGCAGCAGCTCTACCAACTGAACCACCATGCCACCCTTTTACTGATACTGTAAATAAATAAGGTAAACATGGTAAAACTGATGTTTAAACAATATATATTTACTAAAGCTAAAAGAATTAAGGAAAAATAAATTCCCTGGTTTAACTCTTACAAAAGTGTTCCCACTCATCCAACCAAAAATAACCAATGTAACAAATTACCATATAAGTAGCTGGATTGCTTTTTACGTTTAAATGCTGTTGACATTTGTTAGTCCATTGTAATGACCTCTGAACTCTTCAGACACATTCCCCACATGTAGAAAACAACCCCACTGTTTTAGCTGGGAAAGCAGCCCAGAGGTAAAGGGTGTTCATAACTAATCATTTCATCAGCTGATTTTAGATTTGACCTGAAGCTAATCTCATCATGGCTACCGACTGATGTATTAGTGAGAACAGCAGTGCACATGCTCATCCTGCTGCAAACACACAGATGAATACCGATGAACAGAGCCGCATATCAAACAAGACAAACGAACTGCGAACAGCAGAGGAGGTGCATTCAGTGCAGACTCCAAGCGTTAACGTGGGCAGTGAAGCTGGATACGTCCCAGTGACTTCACCACGCAGCAACCAGCAACATAACCAGTAATTGTAAAAAGTGTCACGTGACAAACTGACTGCAAACACACACACACCATGGTGTCTGAAGATAAAAACACCTGAAACATGAGTGGTAATAATAGAGGTGCAGGTCCAACCTAAGGCTGAAGCTTCTTTTGTCCTGTCTGACTCAAAGCATCGATGCACAGCTGAAGCTTTTAGAGAAAAGTTGATCAGAATGTGGCATGAACCAGGCTCTGAATTACAGATATGACTGACACCTTTCACTTTGTGAGGCCAATTAGCTTCATGACAGGTGCTTGTGAAGAGTTACTCTCTTTATCTTTTCTTTGCATTTACTATTTCTATATGACAACCAGGTCCTCAATGTTTCTGACTCTTATATTTAGGTCTTTCTCTCATTTCTTCCTTGTCCTTGCCTTCTCACTGTCTGACATGTTCTTTCTCTCCACTCTGCTTCACTGCAGCAAAGTGACAGAGCAAGAGAAGAAAAGGTTACGTGCCATTTGAAGTGTTCCCAAATACACAACATATAATAACCATCATATATCACATTACAAGGAGCAGCAAGTACAAAGACGGTCACGTAGGAGGGTGTACTTGTGGGATGCAGAGCCTTGGCTTGTTATAGAGGCCAGTGAGACACTCAAAAATGTTCTAATTGAAATATTTCTCACGCACTGAAGTCAGATATATTTGGAAAAAGAAAAGAAAGAAAGAAATGGTCTGGGTTGTTTAAACACTGATGTCATTGCAGGGTTTAGAGAGGGTCTTATCACATGAAGTTTAAATGGTGCAAGTTTGCCACCTGCTGGTGATGAACAGATTTTGGTTGGCTTTCATCTGTTATCATGGTTTCTTCACGATTTTCTAACATGTGCAGTTCACAAAAACATTTCATGCTGCTAAAGGTAAAAGAAGAGAAAAGTGGGAAGAGAAAGACAGCGTTTTTGTCAGAATTATATGCCAAAGCAACTTTAATTACACATTCTGCTCTGTGAAGTTGGAATCAAGTCTATATCCTCTGTTATCAGATTAATCTGATTACAGATTTTGGCAGCACGATGGCTCAAAGGTTTAGTATTGTTGCCTCACAGCAAGAAGGTTGTGGGTTCAATCCCTGGTTGGACCTGGGGTCTTTAGAGTTTGCATGTTCTTCTCGTGCTTTTCTCTGGGTACTCCGGTTTAATCCCACAGACCAAAAACATGCATGTTAGGCTGCCTTCAGGTCCAGGCCTCCCTTGCAAAAGAGATCTGTGATCTCAATGGGATTCGCCTGGTTAAATAAAGGTTAATAATTATAATAATAAAAATAAAAAAATCTGTCCAATCCATTTTTTTTTTAAAGATCCTTTCTGGTCCAATGTGCTTTTTGGCTGAATGTTCACAAATATGTTTAGATGGAAGCTGCTTAAAATGTACTCGTATAGGAATCACTCTTCCAGTGGTGCGTCAGGCACCGTTTAACTTGGTGATGAAGAGCCAGTCTTTAAAGAGCAGGTTGAAATATGCAAAAGAAAATAAATATTCTGTTTAAATTGATTACTGTGTGAGCATAACTTACAGTGCTTGTTTACCTGACATGAGTCAGCTATATACTAATTACGTTATTAAAATTAATTATAAGCAAATACAAAATAAATTTATAAACCGCTCAGACAGTGGTTGGCACAGTTGGTAGAGCTGCTGCCTCTCAGCGAGAAGGTCGCCGGATCAAATCCCGGTCCAGAGGACTTTCTAGATCGAGTTTGCATAATCTCCAGGTACTCCAGTTTCCTCCCACAGACCAAAAACATACATGTTAGACTGATTGGTAACTCTAAATTGTCCCTAGGTGTGAGTGAAAGAGTGTCTCGTTTGTTTCTATGTGTCCCTGTGATGGACTGGAGACCTGTCCAGGGTGACCCCCACCTCTCCCACAGTAATTGCTGGACATGGGCACCAGTTACCCCCACAACCCGAAAAGGACGCTGCAGGTAAAGATAAAGGATGGAAAGGTTCTTCTGAATACATCACACAGAGGTACAAAGAGCAAAATACTGAAAAATGAAAAACTGTTTTAGACCCGACAAGAAAATTACAGTAAAATACAAGTTCTTCATACATATAAATTGTATGGCTGGCATCAATATAACTGACGCTTTGTGAAATTAAAATAATCAAATGAGTTTATAGGTTTGAAACTTTATTCCATTTTCCACAAGATGTCGCTTTATAACTACCGATTGCCAAGTAAAATGGCTAACAAGTCTTTTCAATTTCTGTCAACCAAAATAGGCATGAGGAATAAATTATATAAACTTACAATATTCAGGTGTTCAAAACTATTTCTGATTATATTTTAGAAGTTTGTTGGTTACTCGGTGTGGTGTAAAAGTAGGCAAACTTTGCTAACTTGCTTCAAGGACACCTCCAAGTCTGTGAGCTTGGCAGAACTGATAAGCGTATAAAAACAAGCTGCACACACTGCCCGTGACAGATTCTCGTTGTGGCTGGGCTTCATGTGTGTACTTCCTGTACATCTGTGTAACCTGTCCTGGATATCTGTCCTTACAAGTAAAATACTGGTTAAAAATATCCTCCGGCCTTCAAGTTTTTGTGGGAGTTCCTGTTTCAACGTCTGTTCTTTGTATAATAGAGGGCGCCATACTACCACACCTGCAAGCAATGCTTCCTGATGAGGCTCCAGGCACCTGCTGACTTCCCTTCGACGCTGGAGCATTACCTTGCCTATAGTTTGTTTCTAGCAGTTTTGTGAATCACTCGCCTTGTGAAAACTTACCTTTTGATCTTTCCAGAGTACCTCCTGAGTCCTTCTTGACTACCAGACCTCCTAATAATTTCTGGAAACCTACCTGTGCTCTTCAGCTGTTCACCTCGCCCCCCTACCACACGCCCTTCTGAGTCTACTGGACTTTCTCATGATGGTATAGGTTATTGGAAACAAACCACCTACCATCTTGGACCTGACCGCTCTCCTTGCTCTTCAGGTTTCCTGAGAATCCCCAAACCATTGTCCACTGTTAATAAAAGCACTGAATTATACTAGTGTCTTGAGTTGTTCACTGTCAGTTCTTTCGCTCTGGGTATTCTGTTCTTGTGACAGTTTTGATAAAGTAAGATAAAGTGAGAGTATTTTTCTCCAACACTGCCCATCTGTCAAGTCATACTACGGTGACCTTGATCGTAACATCAAGCTTTAAGATGTATTAGTTGTCGATCAATTCTCTATTACTAAAAGTGCCACTAGAAAAACTGTATTAGTAAAATGTATTGACTAAGTGTTTCAGTCACCAGTATGTGTTAGATGTAAAGTACTTACAAATGTTCTCAGCCATTTTATATGAAAGAAACAGAAAAACAAACCTTTCCTTTTCGAACATGTCATGGCACCATTTATTTTGTAAAGTTATGCATAACCTTCCAACTTGATCATTGTACACTATATGTTGAACTTCATGACATTATTAGAATATCAAGCAGTCAGATCAGAATCTGCAACAGTAGCAGAAAGAAGCAGCGTTTCTGTCAGAAACTGATACAGAAAGAGCATGACCGCTCCTTGAGGGAGACAGAAAAAGGGCAAGATAACCAGAGGCAGACGAGGAAACGTGACATATGAAGTGAAGGAAGGGATGAAGGAGGATGAAAGCCACTCAGCTGCTTGGAAGAGGAAAAGGAAGACATTCATACATGTTCACACAGAAAAGAAGGGAGACAGTCGCACACTTAAGAGGGAACGAGTGGACAAAGTAGTCAGCACAGAAATGAAACAGGACCAGATCAGAGCCTCCAGACTGTTCATTCTAGTTAACACCACACCTAGAATTCATGTTAAATTCTAGACTTGAACAACTTGTAAGTTTTATTTTTGATATGCAGAATCTATCCATCACTAGTGCAATTCTGGCCTCTATCAGTCTGAATATAGTGCTGCCATTCCCAAGATACACTAGGGTGCTTGTATGTTAGCGTGCACTCACACTAACCATGTTTGACTGGAGCATAAAGCAGCTAAAAGGTAACACCGTGGTCAAAAGCATGCAAGCAATTTGGGAAACACAATTTTTTTTAAAAACAAAGAAAAAAAAAGAAAATAAATACATCTTGGGATAAAAAAAAATCTTAATACAATATCTTAAAATTTTCCTTTTCTCGTTTGTGTTTCATATATATATATTCTAAACACACATCTTTGTACATTTTGGTATAAGTTCTCTTTCTTGAAGGGAGTTTAGGGGGAAATGAGGGTTCAATGGTAGAAGAGGATGAGGTTCTGGGGCAATCCCACTTCCCTGATTGCCTTGTGCTGAGAAGGGCGGCGTGACATCACGTACATAAATCCTCCCTTCAAACGACTGCTCACACTCAAGTCTCTCATTCTCCGAACATGGGGGATGAAAAATGTAATCAGCAGTGACAGGACAAGCTTATAGGATGTCCAGAATGTCCAGGAGACAAGAAGAAAGAGCAGACTATAAGTTGGTACTTCTTCTTTGGGACCAGAGCCTAAACGTGAAGCACACTGACGTCCACACTATCTCTTATCTGAGGAGAAAAAAAACGATACGGTAAGGACCAGAAAAGAGACGGATACAAAAACATTCATATTTTAAGAGCAAATGAGTGAGTTGTGCATAAATTAAGTTACCTTTGTTTTCATCCATGTCTGTTATTGACCTCTCTGGTCTTTGGCGTATTAAATTATTGTACTTAGCCTCAACCTCCTGTTAGGGGGGGGAAAAAAGTACAACCAGATTTGACCACATCACTCTTCTATCAAAGATATGTGTTGAGGAGATGAAAATCAATACATGATGAGTACCTTCAGACAGTTGAGGTTGGTCTGAAGGTTTCTAAGGTGAGACAGCACCTGTCTGCTGAAAGAGGAGAGGCTGCCGACCTGTGACGTTGAGGAAAATCTTAAATTGATGCCAGAGTCTGCAGCACAGACTTGCGAGGTGCTTAGCTGCTTCCCATTGGTTGATGCCATGATGTCATCATCGGTGCTGCTCTCCCCGGGACCACCGTAGCCCTCCAGGACTAAACACCCTGCAGGTAGAGTTAGTATAACCAATTAAAACAACACGATGGGAAGATGTTGCATCCACGGTATTCTGAAGTTCTACGTTTACCGTAATCTTCAGGTGAGTCAAAGAATCCAGTGTCCCCTGACCCCAGGTCCTGAGCCAGGTCCTGTGTTTTTGAACTGCTTTTCTCTGAGCTGTTGTGGACCATCACCATAGCGCGGCTGTCTGTTGGGGTCCGCAAAGAGGTGGTCCTCAGGAGACGGGCTCCAGTGGAGCGTTTGGTTTGCTCTGCTGCCTCCTGGGACATCAGCTGAGTCACTAACACTTGCTTTAATGCTGCCACTGCAGGACAGACAACAAATAATCGTGTGAATGCTTATGAAGCATATCATATTTCAACAATTCATATATGAAAACGTTCAGCTCTTTCAGGACAATCCTGCTTTGACTTTTGGTGCAACTTTAGCTTTTTGAAATATTTAGCCTTTTCTGACACTTTTTTTTCTCGCAGAAAATGAAATGAGCTCATTTTACATCCTTCAGATCTAGATCCGTTTACAAACTTTTACTGCTCCTTTCACATTTTTTTCTGCTTCAGCTTCTTTGTGCAAATTTAAACTTTTTTTTTCAGCTAATTGCAACTGTTTTGTGCTCTTTTCAGATTCTTTCTGCTAACTACAACATTTTTGTGCTTTTCCTTAATTATTTATGCTAACTTTAGGCTCAGTTAATTTCAGCAGGTTTCAGCTTTTTCTGCATCGTCAGCTATATTTAGCTGTTTTATGTTAATTTTAGCATTTTCAGCTAATTCCAAATTTTTTGCATTCATTTAAACTATTTTCAGCCAAATTCAACAAAAATGTGCTCTCTCCACTTCCTTCTATTAAATTTAAACTCCTTTCTGCATTTTTAGCTACTTTTCAGTAGTTTTTTTAAACAAATTTAAGCCTTTTTTTGTGCTCACTTCTGCTTCTTTCAATGTAATTTGGCAAACTTGTTTTCTTTCTGCATTCTTCTGCTAATTTAAGCTTGCTCTATCTTTTCAGATACATTTTTTTGTCTTTTTTTTTAGCTAATTTAAGCTGTTTTCTGATAAATTCGTTTTTCATGTAATTTCTGTTTCTTTCAGCCTAACTAACTTATTTCTGACAGTTTCAGCTTGTTATGCTAGCTTCAGCCTATTTCTGCTAGTTTCAGTTATTTCAGCTACTATTTAGTTGTTTTATGCCAATTTTAGCTTTTTCAGCTAATTCCACATTTGTTTAGCTCATTTCAGCTCTTTCTGCTTCCTTCTGGTAGTTTAAGGTTCTTTCTGACTTTGCAGCTTTTTTTTGTGCTGTTGCTAATTTCAGCTTTTTTTTTTAGATAATTTTCTATACTGTTTTTACTAATTTCTGCTAATTTAAACCTAATTCAGGAAATGTGTTCTGTTCCTTCTGCAAATTTAGGTTTGTTCTTCCATTTCAATTACATTTCAGCAAGTTTTTAGCTCATTTCAGCTGCTTTTCAGCAAGTTCTTCTGCAACAAGCATTCACACTGCATTTTCACAGGAAATACAATTTTTCTAGCTTAATTTTTATCTGACCAAACAAGGTTAAATCCCTTTATTTTTGTCTGTGTCCTTACATGTTTTTAAGGCTTCCTCTGCTCTGGAGGGAAACGCATCAAACAAGTCTCCTTCTCTGTCGACTTCAGCCACTTGATATGGAAGTTCTGGGTCCACAAATCCTTCTTCCTCCTCTTCATCTTTCTTTTCCTCTTCAAATGGATTACTACCAATTGGAGAACTCTGCAGTGCACTTCTAGGGGATGAATTGCTCTCTTTATCTAAAGAGGAATAATTACAGTCATCACAAGGAAACCATTCACACAGCTACGAAAATTGCTGTCTGAGACAAATTGATAAAAGTGAGCAGCTTCGGCTACCTGTGAACTGAGCGCTGCCGGTGGACGTGCGGTCTGCGTCTCTACTCAGTCTGGAAGCACCTGCTGATATGATCTCCACTCCATCTCTCTCCCCGCTAGCAAACAGAATCTAAGCTTAGTAATACATTCACACCTCGCGAGCCATCAGATGTTATCAGATTAAAAATGCTAAAGAAACGTACTCCGGCTGAGGTAATGGTATGACGCTGTGAGGTTTGGTTTTCATCGTATCAGCCCGCTGGGAGATCAGACTTTGCCACCTTATGTAAAAACATGATCAAATGAATTCAAATATTCAACAACAACAAAAAAATAATAGAATAAGTCATAAGTCTGTTAGTCTCACGTCTTTTTATCCGAGACTGTGGGCGCCATTAACTCATAGATCTGGGGACCGTTTTCTGACATGGAGATAACGAAGAAGGACTTGTTGTCTGAAAGGCAGAGAGAGTAAACAGTCCTTGACATGAGAATGACAATATTCTGGACTCTGTAAAGATTTACAAAAAACGTTTCCATACACTGACTGATTAGGTTAGGGTGGCAATGAAAGCACTGGATCATGCTTTTCTCAACGACACGAAACATTTTGAACGAACCTGTAGCCACAGAACGCACTAGCACAGTGCTCTGCTTGATGATGGGGCTGTAGATGTGTTTGGTATCTGCGGTCCCTGCCAGGTTTGTGCTGTGACACTTCAGGATTAAACGCTCGTCTTGTTTCTGCAGCAGAACGAGAATGTCCTCCAAGAGAAGAGTGTACAACTCTGAAAGAACAATCAGGAAGCATGTGCTCATGGTCCGACCAAATCATTGATTACCTCGAGTTATAGACTGTATACGAGCAACAGAATATTTAAATCACTACAAACCAATAGTCTTGTCCTTGTTCACTTTCCATGACAGTGGACCCTCATGAATCAACGTCTTCTTGGTTAGATCCAAGTTCTGAAGGGCGTAGATCAGGAATAGAAATAAGAAAGTTAAGAATTAGCTTCTAGCCCATGCACCTAATAACTAATATTGTTTTGCTTTTTTCCTTTTTAAAGATGAAAATATTTTAGTCTTACATAACTAATTTTAATTCAAGCTAAAGTAGAGCTGCATCAATCGCTCAGCCAATGACTGGAATTGGACAATTTTTAGCTTTTCAGCTCGGCTGATCAGAAACTTAAAAAGCCGTTTTTATTCCTGGTCAGTGAACACATCATAGGTAAAATTCTATTTCACACTAATGGTATTTTCAATTCAATTCAATTCGGTTTATTTATATAGTGCCAAATCACAACAAAGTTGTCTCAGGGCACTTTACAGAAACAATCACATACATAAAAGCCAAAATCGGGTATAAATTTTGGCACAGAAGTTGTAACTGGGTGAGGAAAAACCCAAACTTGGGCATTTGTGATATTAGTAAGGTGTTTAAAGATGACGTCAGAGGCAGCACAAAAGAGGCTGGTGAATGGAAACTATTTTCCACAGAGGTACGTCTAATGTTTATAGAAGCTAAAAGTTTCCATGAAAGTACTTGCAGCCTCTTCAATAAGTGATAATATAAGCCCAGGTTAGTTTGGGAGCAAAGAGACTTCAGCAGACAACAAGAAGGATAGATTACAGAAAAGCTTCTTTAGCCCATTGAGCTATAACGCAGATAACAAACCTTTAGCTCAAGGATCATGGGGTTGTCTGTCTGCTTCAGTGAGGAGAGGTCCAGTCTTCTCTGATAGTCTTCTAATTTCTAAAGGAATAAAGGAGGGAAACAAAAAAGGTAAGTAAGTGTTCACCAGGAAGAAAAACTGAGGGAAGCTATAATAATGAGAGACACACAAATTATATCTGAAAATACCTGGGATGAAAATGTAAAAAAACAGGTAAAGTAAAAGATTAAATGTATTAAATTAAAAGTCCCACCTGCTTGTCTTCAGACTCTTTCAAAGCCTGGTTAACGTGACTGAGGATCCTTCTACAGCAGTCTGCTGCCTGCTTTACTTTGACCTTCTCCTCTGAATTATCTGAAAAATATGACGCTGAGCATTAAAGCTTCTTCCACAGCTCCTCAGGGAACAGTACACAAATATGTATCATTTTTATTTTATCCATTAATACACCATAAGTCTCTGAAATTCTGATAAAGCAGTGGATACATTATGGTCTTGTAATAGTTGGTGATACTTTATTATTAGTTTTCTCCTGGTGAGACCAAAACGCCAACGAGGAATATAATAGTGGACCAAAGATTGTCACATTTCCAGTTATACACCAACACTACAGGACCTTTATAACAATAATCTCTCTCCATTAATCTTTAATACAATGATTATTGGCACGTTGATACACAGACCCTCATTAAGGCTGCTTACCTACAAGTCTTAAGTTAAGTAGTTATTTCTATTGCATTCAATTACATAAAGAAGTTGAAAGAAAAGAAAATATCTGTCTAAAATTTTTTTTTTACTTAGTAACTCCTTATTAGAGCTAAATGATCATAAATTATAGTCTTGAATAATGCTATAGTTGACAGAGTATCAATTAAAACCCAGCACTCATGAAGTGATTACAACATAAACAAATCCCAGCTAACTGTAACTAAACAGTTTAGGTCAGTACTACAGTACCACACCTGTGTACTTGACAATGTTGTCTAGAAGCAGAGGATACTTGGTGAGCCGCAGCATTTCTACAGGAATGATGTCTTTAAGCTGCAGTCGGCGACACAGTCTGTTACTCTCTGCCTCCTGCAAATAAATAATATAAACCATCTTACACAGTCACACAACAAAAACATAGATTTCACTGAAGTTTAAATGCTGACTGAGCAACACAAATAAAATTAGACTTTCAGTCTGACAAAGTAATCAAAGCATAGTTTACCCTTCAGTGTAGCCTATCCTGGAGATTTATTTAGTTTAGTAATCAGACATTTCAGAGCTGATGGTGAATATGTTCTCTGCACTACATAACGTGCGTACCTGGATGAATGAAGTGAACCTTGAGTCTTTCTTCTGCTTGGTCTTGATGATCTCCAGAGCGAAAGGCTGGTTACTGCAAAATGTCCCCACCGCTTGCTTGATTTTCTCCTCTCCACCGCTGAACTGCAACCGACCCAAAGCAAGACGGGAACGTAAAGACAGTGTGGATTCATTGGCATGCAAAAAAGAAATCTTTTATAAACAGCTGACTCCAAAAACGAGGATAGACATGTTCTTGTAGCAGAGACAGCTCAGGGTTCAGCAGAGACTAGATCAAGGCTCCGACCTCAGGGGACCATTTACCCTGCTTATCCCCCACAGTGAGGACTCGGCCAAGGCTGCCAGCAGATATCTGGTGACTTCACTTTAAATATATCGCACACTGAGATGTGTAGATGTCAGACAAATCTAGGCCATCTTCTGACATGCTCGTTTACTGAGGAACGTGGGTGCATTTCTCTCACTTGCTTCTATAGTAAACTGCAACACATCAATCATTTCCAGTAAAGAGCAACTGTTTTGCCTTCCAATGTTTTATTTTTTTACTGTAGGAAATTTGTTACAAGCTTTTGTTTAAGGTGAGATTACACTGAAAGTTTATAAAATGTTCAAGTGAAGATGAATCGATTAAAAGGAAAGTAATTAGGGTTGATCAATCTATCTTGTGCCCATTTTCCTTTTCTTGTGAAACAGCCGTAATGATTTAAATTTCTTGCACACAGTACATCCCAAATCACCTGTGTCATTTTGAAAATACATTCACTACAAAGCACTGATTGAAAGTGGAAACAAAACTGTACTTACCCACGAGAGCAAGTCGTCTCCTATTTGATCGATCACTGAAGACCCGTTTCTCTTACGAACAGCTGTCATTTGCTCAAGTAATGAAACTGAAATTCAAAGATGAGCTCACTGAGTTAGCATGTCTCACTTGAGTATGAAATACTAAGATGACATCATTTAAAATGTACATGTGAGGATCTACATGCTGTTTTAGATTATGTTTAGTTTACCTACAGTACATCTAGACGCAAGTCGCACATGTAAAGTGTTTTACTGATGTTTCATGGTGAGGGTGTGTGAGTTTGAGTGAGCACCGTGCAGCTGTAGAACCTCTTCCAGATTGGTGAAGATGTTCTTGATGTCAGCAGGAGGAAGGATTGCATCTTTGGAAAGCTTCTGGTAGAAAACATGGTCCAGAACCTTGAGCATTCGTACATGTGCGCGCTCTGTGTAAAACAGTTCTGTAGACACAACAAAAGTTCATTTAAGGTGACCACTTAGTTCATGCACACCTGAACCTCTGCTGCATGTCTTCCTTCAGCTCATAAAGGAAAACTTGTTTTATTCTTTCAAGATATGAATGCAGATTAAGAGAAGTGTCCACTGTTGTGTCCTCACCATTGATAACTTCTTGTCTCTTGATCTCATGAGGCCTGAGACCTGCAAGGACCTCTCGTCCCACCAATTGCTGCCAGTTCGGTGGATCGTGTTCGGAGTCGGTGCCCTGATCATCCTCACTCTGAACATCTACAGCACCCAGTCCCTCGAGTCTGGTGACAGAGAAAGGTAGCGTTTCTCACTACGTTAATCAAATCTCCTCTTCTGTCTTTGAGACAGATTTAAAGCACCAAAATGAAAATGATTAGGTAGGCTCACCTTCTGATGGCTTTTGGTGTTCCCTCAGGAGCTCTGCAAAAGGTGTCATTGAATACATTTTAACCAACATAAGACATTCTTCTTTCTAAAGCACATGTAACTGAAAATGTACCTGTCACTTTCTCTGTCATCCTCTTGAAGATGGTCCAGACTAAAAAACTCCAAGTGTGAAGCAGGACATGATAATCCACCCAGCGGGTCAGACTGGATACCATCAGTCAGCTTGGAGGGGCCTGATGTTGGTGTCCCACCTGATAGAGAACGTTAACATTAATATTTTGTCCTTTATCACACGATTGATACAGAGCCCACATGGCTGCTTTGTGCCCAATGTCATACCAGTGTTTCCACTACCATTATGAAAGAAGGACGACCCACCCTGCCAAATGCCTTGTGTACAAACACCCACACCCCCCACGGCTGACAGTTCCATTTCTTCAGGATGGGGAGCAAAGATTTTAGCAACTGGATAAGCAGTTCGGTCGTAGTATTAGTACCGTGACGCTCCACTAACCACCCCGTCTACAAATGTAATGTAACAAAGGATGACCCGCCCAGCAAACCATATCTGAACGTCCACTTCCTCATTGTGTTGACGGACAGCGCCACAAGAAAAGAGCACATTTATGGGCTGTCCTGTTCCCCGTCCTGAACCACTTTAGCTGTGGCTGCCTGGATGGGAGGAGTCGACAGGGGACAGGACAGCCACCAGAAACCATCTTATCACCAGCAAACTGGTTGGTCCACTAAAGGAGTGTACTGCTTAGTGGGGAAACAGTTTACTTGGGACTCCTCAGACTGATGAAGCCCTCCGTATAGAGAGTGAAACGTCTTTCCACAAAAAAGAAAACTGTCCAGATGACCTGACTGACCATTATTGGATTTTGTACCTGGATGATTGAGCATGAACTCTGATGAGAAGAGGAGAGCCGAGTGGCGCCGTACTTATAAATGACAAAGACAAAAATCTCCCTGAAGTAAGCTAGTGAAACACTGCATTTGTATTTGTGTCTTTGTGACTGGAAAACTTTCGGGGTGTTTAGATCAACAGTTCACCAAATGTTATCAGCTAATTTTTAATCCAAATCCTGTAATTAGATCAGTACACACACAGGAAAATGATTTCATTTGTATAAAGTCAGGATAATTACTCATCTGTGTGTCACAAACTTATTTTTATTCTAAATTGTATTAGTTTAACTTCCTCTTTCCTCTAAGAAAACTATTTTTAAGCAATGAGTAGTAACAAGTAATGAATTGCCTGACTCATCATGTCTTTGCTCAAGTAAAGTCTTGATAAAACAAAATGTAACTCAGTAAATGTTCCAACAGTGTTGTAAGTTATAATTATTATTTTTTTGTGTGTAGGTTTTTGCTGTTTTCTCATTTTTCGAGCACTCCCAGATGTGTGTATACTCGGTAACTTCAGTAGAGCTTAACATCATATTTTTAATGTCTTCTGAGTCCCAGAGCAGACACAGAAACCTTATCAGGATCTAGTTTTTAGGCTTATTGAACTTAAACTGACACGTTTCAGATTTTCTACCTTTTTCTTAAATAATTGAGTCATATCGTAGCTCACCAATATCAGCATCTTGGCTGGTGTCTGAGTTGTTGGTGATGCTGTTTGGAGACGAGGTGTTGACAGACATGGAGTGAGTGAGTTCAGGGCCTTCACTTGATTGGCTGCCTCTTAGAACACCTTCCATTTGCTCATTCGTCACCAGTATGGGCTGAGAGACCTGTCTTTGTGGCCTGGTGCGATTGTCCGGCCCTTTAATCCCTGTATACGAGAAGTTTCAAAAATCATCGAAGGCTTTTCACATATCGTTTTCATTCAACTTCCTTTTCGCACACATACTTACCATCATTGCGACTGGGCCAACGCTGTGGTGCACGGAAAGTAAATCTGGGTTTTTTCTCCACTTTCTCGTCTCCTTCCTTTTCTGACTTGATGCTTTTCTGCAGGTCATCACAAACAAGGGGGGAAAATTGTTATTTAGGAGCAAACTGGATCGTGGAGAAGGTAAAATCTGTTTTTAGATGCATCATATCTCAAACATAGATGATTCTGATCAATCCTCAAATGTGAAAACTTGATTTTGTTAACATGAATCTGTGTTGCCACTTTAACCCGCAAATTGAAATTTAACGTTCTATATTTTTTATGTGTTACTTAGGTGGGAAAAAAATTGACCACCTTACAAACCTGTTTAAAAGTACTATTTTCTAATATTTCTGTCCACCATAAACTAGTCAATCTTTTAGAGCTATCTGAGCTTGAATTTAAAATATCAAAAATAAACTGACTTTAATTTTACAAAAGTTCGCATTTCATTTGTTTTTAATTAATTTCGTGGCAATTATTGTTATTGGTATCATGTAGCAGATTAGCTTTTCTTTGGCGTTTTTAATACCGTGCCATACTATTTTATTTATAAAGCACTTTAAACAGCGACAGGGCCAAACAAAATACTGTACAAACAGAAACAAACAGGCAAAACACACAGCAACACAAAACATAACGTAAAATCTAAATATAGAGAACCAAAAAATAGCAGATAATAACATAATGACTAACAAAGTGATGCATACAGGTTCAGCACAGATCATACAGTGCTGAAAGCCAGGGAATAGTAGTGGGTTTTTAAGTGGGATTTAAAAACTGTGAGGGAGAAGAATAAGTTAGTATCTATGCTAATTGTTGGTCAGTAATTATTTAAGTTTTATTTAAATACTGTAATTACTTCAAAATAAACACTTTTTAAATCTTTATTTTGGCCTTTTTTTTTTACCGAAAATTAACCGAAATGTGTACCGTTACACCCCTAACGCCTTGTATATGTATAAAATTATTTATTTATTTATTTAGTGTGCACGGCTTATACTCGGGTGCACTCTATACACCAGTGATTACGGTATGTTTTTGTGTAAGAAAATATAAAAATCATTGTTCATTTGTGTAAAACAAGCCAGTCTGTTCAATTCGTAAATTTGTTTTGAATAAACATCATAGGCTTACCAGCTGCCTCCTGGTGCTTATTCACAAAACTGATAATATACAATATCATCGCAAACAATGAAAAACACCAGTAATTGCAGTATGATTGCATCGCGGTCCTCTGCATTGCAATCATGATCAAATCAAACTGTGAGGTGCTAAACAATTTCCAACTCTAGTGATAACAGCTGAAGAGTAATCAATTTGGGAAATGTACCTGAAGTACCTTCATCTTAGGGAGGAAGCTGATCCGAACACGTTTGGGCTCCAGATTTCGAGGTTCCTTGACCCTCACACCAAGGTGCTTCATGTATGTATAGATAACATACTGTATTGTAGTGCTAAAGGGAAATACAATTGTTAACTTTGTTGTATACGTTTCATTTAAAAAAAATAGAGGCAGTAGTAAAATTTGAATATCATAAATATCCTTTTTTTTAATAACATGTTATAGCAGGTTTTACTTATTTAATTTCTAGACAAACCATCTGTGCTCTGCAGACACCATATGGCATTTCCAACGAATTTTCAGTCACACTTGAATTATTTAATGTAAACCATGCTGCATAAATTACATGTTCTCTTTATGAGTCTGAAGAGGTGTTTATTTTGTAAACGGTGAGGGATAAAGACTGGAGATTTATTGATACAGTAAAAGTATAATGTTAAGTATTTTAGAGCAAAACTTCTAGACTAAATGACGGACTTCTCTTAATGAAAGCCTATTTCAAATGAGTCATTAAAAAGAGTCAAAAGGTGTAATGGACTGAACCATGAAGACACAGTTTTGGTTTGTTTCTTTAGGTTTGACTTGTTACTGATGGAAAAGTAGTCTTTAAATAATCCTTGTGTGTTTTAAGAAACGTTTCTTTTCTGTATTGATCTACTAATAAATGTATGAACTACATTACCATTTTTCTTCTTCTGTGGGTTGAGTGGTCACCCTGTAAACAGCAGAAAAAACAGTGTTTTGCAACAGAAAGATTATATTGTGTCTGTGCATTAAACAGTTTCATGCACGTTTGCCCAGCATGCCTTTATGTGTTTCTAAAGCTACGTGTGCAGCTTACAAGATGTCATCTATTTTGCTGATGATGTTCTCGGCATACGAACATTCCCGCTCAAGAGTAACCCGATCTCTGACTCTCTCTTGGTCCAGTCTGTTCAGCTCAACTTCAGCCACAGTTAGGCCCATGCTACGTTTCTGCCTGTGTGAATCAAAACATCAAATGATCTTTGTTTAGAATGAAGTGTGGATCTGTTTTCACACAAAACACTGCAGAATTAGGTCTTGATTTTAGTAAGTAATGGTCTGAAAACTGGAAAAGCATCTGTAAAGTTCATATTGACATATAGAAAATTCAGTTTATATGCATAAACAGCTTTATAGAAAAACAACAAAACCAATTATCAATATTTACATATTGTTCTAATTGATAAATGATCTCAAACAAATGAAAATGATGAAAAATAAGAATTCAGACTGGCATGGTTTACCTGAAGTCCTCGAGGTTTTTCAGAATGTCAGGGAACAGAGAGTCCTGCAGTGTTTGAACATACTGCCTGTTTATTTCCTCTGGGATCAGGTCCGTCCGCCGGCGGTCTTCAAAACATACACACACACTCAGACAATATGCATAAAATACCAATACTTTCCTAACCACTTTATTTTGGAACATCCTGGCTAATGGACCTACTTGGACATACTTACTGAGATCAGAAGAAACTGATTCAGGAACAGGAACTTTTAAATTCTGCAACAACAAAAAAAAGAGTTTTAAGGCAGAAATATATTAATACTAAACTACTAAATGTAAGTGGTTCAGATTAAATTAGTGAAGATAAACGCAATCATTACCTGTTGTGAGGATAAAAAAGTTAGTTAGCTGCACTTATGTCACTTTATTTTAACAAGTAAATGCCATTTCTTTAGATATTACAATGAAAAGTTTTTTTTTTTTTTCCATTCTTAAAAAGAAAAAAGAAAAAAAAAGCTTTATTTGTATTTTAAAAATGTCGACTCACTGCTGCCCGGTCCATAAAGATGGTGTGAAAGTCCAAGAACACTCGTCTGGTCTCTTTGGGGTTAGTTTGCTTATAGAAGTCAGCATAGAGGTAGCACAGCTGAGATCAGAATATATACAGATATTAGCAACTCTGCTTTGTGGCAAGATGACGGGTTGCATTAAACCATTTAATACACAAGGAATATCTATTGAAGTCCCAATTGAGGGTCCTACCACTGGAGCGGGGTCGAACTGGGAAATGACATGGTGCAGGAATGCTGCGAGGTGGGCAGGACGACACTTGAGCTGATCAATACTGTTAAAGCTGTTACACTGGCCGTTTGTCTGAAACACAAAGTACAGCAGCTCACCTTGATTAAATGTTTATAAAAAGTTAGCTTTCCGTACTTTAACAATGCTGAAATCGTGGTGGTATTATAAATGACACAAATGTTAATGTTACAGTATGTTAAAAACATACTTGCTCCTGATCTGAATCAAAACAGTCATCTTCAGCTCCTATTATTTGCACGCCAAAGCGATAAGGAGGGCGACTGGTGACTGTGATGGGAGACAGAGGGTCCTGCAAAAAATTCATTGATGTGTAGTGAAATCGCTTGTCTCTTCTTGACAAATAAAACCAGTGGTGTAGTCTACGTGATACACTGGTATACGCCGTATACCCGCTAGAAAAGATTGAGAATTTCCGTATACCCACTTAAAAGTGCCCAATGATATGATAGTGGGTACGTGTCACTGATGCGTTGAAACAATGAAACATCTGGGTGAAATGCGTCGTAAACTCCCTCAGAGACCAGCGGTGTCCCTCTTCTTTTTTGGGGGGAAGATGGACGGACGGTCTGTTTGTTTTCTGCCAGGCGCGTGTGCGAGCTGCTCCAGCTACGTGAAGCTAGCAGGAGTGCCGCAGGGCATCGCAGGAACAAGTATGAGGGGCTTTTCAGAATAAACGTTCAGACCGGATATTTATATTTTGTCATGTCAAAAGTATTAGTAACCTTTGAAGTCACCAGCGTGAAGTTTTAAGAACAATAAAATGCAAAACCCTTATTAAACAATGATTCTTGGTCACATTATTTTACTTTTTTTTTAAAACAACGCATTATTTAAAATAAAAAAAACACTTAAAAAATATGCATATTTACATGTGCCACTTAAAGCCTTTTTTCATATTATGTCCAATTTACTTTGGAAGTCTGAACTAAAAAGAAAATAATAAATATGATAATATGTGTGCGTGTGTATATA